CCCCTCTTTGAAGCCCTCGTTGAAGCCCTCGTTGAAGCCCTCATTGAATCCCTCATTGAACTCCTCGTTGAAACTCCCCTCGTTGAGCGCACGGGAACATTTTGCAGCGCACGGGAACGTTTTGCAGCCTACCTTCCCTTGCGCTTGCGTGCTACCTCATGGTATTTCTTTTTTCTTTTTCTTTTTTCCTTCTTTTTTTAAGGCCGCCAGCCTTGTGACGTCATCGTGAAACTGACCGGGCCCGGGTAATTCAGGAGCTTTTTGTTCATCTGGTTGCATCTGGATTCGAACTGAGCTACTTCATCCGAATAGAACGCCCGGTCATTATCGCTGCATCTGGACTGAAAGTTGGGCCAAATGCAGCAGCTATATGATGACCGGGCGTTCTATTCGGGTGAAGACGGTAGGCCCAGGTACTTCCGGAATTTTTTGTTCATCTGGTCTTCTCACTTCAACCGTTTGTGAGCTGTGGCAACTGAGCTGGGGGGCCACTGGTCTGCACGTTATTTCCAGGCCTGCTTTCGCGGCATTGTTGAATGTAGCGGCCGCTCTGTCGACGACTACTTGCCATGTTATCAGCCCCACACCATTCACGTCTTTTTATTTATTATTATTATTTTTTTTTAATGCTTTTTTAAGATTCTTTCATGCTTTTTTGGATTTTTTTTAAACACCATTCAGGTCTTGTTTTGTCTTGTAGACAAGACTAATTCCAACCATTCAAACGATACTCGCTGCCTTCTTGTACGCTGTTTTTTGCTATGCGGACGTACACTTTGTGGCCCCCTCCCTGCTCAGCCAATCGAACTTGGGTGAGCACCTGCAGCAGCGTATATACCTCAGGCAATCACTTCTTGGGCAATGGTTGGTACCCAAACCCAACTGGGGTTAAAGTGGATGCTTTTTTACGGTATCTTCTCTTTTTTTTTTTTTTTTCCCTTTCATTTCTCGATTTACGTGTCCTTGCGCAGGGGCCATGCTAATCTTCTTTCTCTGTATCGTTCCAATTTGAACGGATGTACGAAGGACAATACGGTATCATGGTTAAGGGATTCTGCAGACTGTCGTTGAGGTCAGCAGCCTCCTAATAAATAAATAAGTTGGTAAAACTCCGACGAAACGGTCTGTCACGGCCGCCCATTTCTTGTCTTTTTCTCCCTTTTTTTTTTTTTTTTTTTTTTTTTCCCTTTTCTGCATACGGTTCACCAGGAGCCTCTTTGGAATATATGTGTATATACATGTATGTAAATGCATATGTGTATATACATGTATGTAAATGCATATATGACATATATTCTGAACAGGGGGAGTTGTAAGGAAGAAGATTAAAAATGAATTAAGTTTTTCTTGTTTCTGTTTTTCGCTTTGGCGCTTTGATATCATGTGACAATATATGTACAGATGTTGCCCCCTAGAAGTGCAGATGTGTACATCTATATTATCCTTATGGCGATGTATCTTTCCATGATTTGTCTTTGTTTCGTAACTTTCATTTCGGAGAGAAATGCGCTCTTGGTGGTTGCCGCACCACTCATCAAATGCAGAAAAAACATAAATTATGGCGGTGTATCTTTCCATGTTCTTGGAGAGGATTCATCTTCATTTTGTGCATTTGGTGAGTGGTCCGGCGACGCCCCTTATCTTTTTGCAGGTGCGTTTTTTAGGCACTAGTTAGTTGTGGCAATTTATCAAAAGGAGTATATAGGCCTCGCGATTCTACTCATAAAATGTGAAAAAGCCAGCCAGCCAATGGCGGGTGTATCTTTCCGACTTCTCGCGGAAGATGCATTCTGCATTTGGCTTATTTGGTGAGTACGTAGTGCGGCGAGGCCTCAATGTGTGTGATTTGTATATGACACTACGCACGTGTATTTGTAGTACCTTAAGGGCCAAGTTACGCCACTCGCCATCCGTCGACATGTTCAATGCATCTGGACGAATGCATCTGAAAAGTAGCTATGCTTGCAGGGGTCCCCTGTATAGACGTATAGGCTTAGGGGTAGTGGTGGGGGTAGGTAATGAAAGGTGGAATTGAGAAAAGAATATAACTTAGCTATTAAAAAGAAAAAAAGTGAAAAAAGGGAGGTGGTACACGACGAACAACAAGCAAGAATTAAAGGCTACTAGCCGGGCCGCCCGAGTCACCTTGTCTTCCCGGGCGGCCCGGCCGTGTAAGGACCAGGGAAGGTCACGGCCGGAAAAGAAATATCCAAAAAATCCGGAAAAAAGACTATGTTATGCAGAAAAGAAACTGAACAGGTTTTGCCTCAGGGTCACATCGCCCGGGTCACCTTGTTTTCCCGGGGCCCGGCCGTGCAAGGACCAGGGAAGGTCCCGGTAAAGAAATATCCAAAAAATCCGTGAAAAACTAATCCGTAAAGAACTATGTTATGCCGAAAAGAAACTGGACAAGTTTTGCCTCAGGGGCACATCGCAATTCTTTACCTAGCGCCGCCGGTTTCCCCCATCGGTAATGCCTGCCCACCGCGCATCGCCGTGACGAGGGGCTGGTACAGTCTCGCTTTTGCACCACAACTTTCCCCCATCGGGAATATGCCTGCCCACCCCGCATCACCGTGATGAGAGGCTGATACGGCCTTGCTCTCGCACCACTCATCGGCAGTGCCTGCCCACCCCTCATTACCGCGATGAGGGGCTGATACAGCCCTGCTCTCGCATCACTCCTGTGGTGGAAACCTTCCCCTCGCACCACTCCCGTGGCTGGGGAGAGATCCGGGTTGGTTGATCTTTCCCGCACTATGCATACATAGACTAGCGAGAGAGGAAAAAAATAAAATAAAATAAAATAAATAAATAAAAATAATAATAAAAATAAAAGATAGATGGGAAAGAAGAGTACATAGGTGGATTGAGAGAGAAAAAAATAAAAATAAAAATAAAAATGATATATTCTCCCTCTCTGGCGACGGTTTACCGGGCAGAGTTCTGTTTGACGATATATAAACAGTTTGTCACAGCCCCTCGTTTGTCGTCCTCTTCTCTCTCTCTGCCTACGGTTTACCGGGCAGTTCTGTTTGTGACGATATATATATATATATTCGTGCAGGTCGCGACACATTTGTGTTAATTGAAATAAACTTTGAACATCATTTCAGCCGAGGCCTTCCTCCTTCGTGTCGCCACGGAGTTCAGACTATGGGCCTCGCTGCACTACTCTTGAAAGGTGCAAAACGAGAGTGAATCTTCCGCTAGAACATGGAAAGATACAGCGACATGATTTTTGTCTTTTGTGCATTTCAAGAGTAGTGCAGCGAGTAGAAACGTTTGGGCGCTGCTGTAGTGGCCCGTTCGTTTCCTTAAATCGTGGCTTGTTAACGTTTTTTTTTTTTAATGTGCTCTTGGTTGGTAGTCTATGTGGCAATCCATGTCCAATGCCCGACCCATACCATCTTCCCCCGAACAGAACGCACCCTCATCATGACTGTCTCTCGTCCGGAAGATCACCACCGTCTTCACCTGAATAGAACGGCCTGTCGTTATAGCTGTATTAGGGCCAACTATCAGACCAGATGCAGCAACAATGACCGGGCGTTTTATTACGGTAGTGTACGTTCATGATCAGGGTGCATTGTGTGTTCCAGAGAGGGACTATGAATTAGGGCCAACTATTAGACCAGATGCAGCGACAATGACCGGGTGCTCGAAGTCTCAAACTACCACCACCTCCTTCTCCCAAATTTCTTGCCTTGATATTGTCCGCTGTAAAATGATGCGTGGCTTGCACTGGAGTGCCAACTCTACCGTCTTCACCCGAATAGAACGCCCGGTAATTATTGCCGTATCTGGGCTGAAAGTTGTGCGAAATACAGGTATAATGACCGGGCGTTCTATTCGGGGGAAGACGGTAGTACGGTGGAGATGTGCCGCACATCAAGGGCAGCTTGATGGGGAGCCATGTGTCCTTGACTGAGAAATTGTCCCCGTTCCCGCCCCCTCCCCCAACCCACACACACACACAAACACACACACACACACACACACACACACACGCACACACACGCACACACATCCTCCTGATGAGTCGGTGAAAGTCCGAGGAAACAGTCTGGCACAGTCATGGTTTCTTTCTTTCTTTTTGTTCTTTTTTGTTCTTTTTAAAAAATTTGGAGCATTTTTCGATTTATGCGTGTCATCCTTGCGCAGGGGCCATGCTTATCTTCTCTGTATCGTTACAATTTTTAACGGATGTCCCGAAGGACTCATGGTTTCGTTTAGTGTATAGCGAATATGACAACACACACACACACACACACACACACCAACTCTTGGCCCATCTATTCTGGAGGGTGTCAGTTCGTTTGCTTGTCATGCTTAAGCATCTAGAACAGTTTATGGGCCTCGCTCCACTGCTCACCACATGTATCCTCCCGTGTTCTAAGGGAAGNGGGCCTCGCTCCACTGCTCACCACATGTATCCTCCCGTGTTCTAAGGGAAGATTCATTCTCATTTTGCACGTTTGGTGAGTAGTGGAACGAGGCCTTATGACTGAAAGAAAGAGAGGGAGGAAGTAGAACAGGCAACAGAAGAGAATAGCAGGAGCGAAGTTGTTCCCATTTTGCAAAGTGCAATTTCCTATCTTGCACGTGGATGGCTCAGAACTTCAGACAGAGCAACATTTACAGAATTGAAAAAAAAAAAGGGGAGCACAGGGATGACATGATGTTGTTGCGACCTACAGTTCACTGTGGGACCTCAGGGAGCACTGGGACCATTGCCACCTCCGGGACCACTGAGACCTCTGGGAGTGAAGGACTGTGGAACCACTGGAGCACTTGGACCACAGGGCATTACGAGTGGCCTCACTGCGATCATTGGAACTGTTGGGATCACCGAAACTGCTGGGGCCACTGGGACCGCTTTGACCAGTTCAGAGTGGCTCTCACTGGGATCGCTGGAACTGCTGGGACCACTTGGACCGTTCTGACCAGTTCTTCCGGGAACACTGGAACTTCCGGGAACACTAGAACTTCCGGTAACACTGGAACTGCTGGGAAAACTGGAACTGCTGGGAAAACTTGAACTGCTGGGAACACTGGAACTTCCGGGACCACTGGGACCGCTTTGACCAGTTCAGAGTGGTTCTCACTGGGATGGCTGGAACTGCTGGGACCACTTGGACCGTTTTGACCAGTTCGCAGAGTGCTCACGCTGGTCCTGCTGGAACTTCCGGGAACACTGGAACTTCCGGGAACACTGGAACTGCTGGGAACACTGGAACTTCCGGGAACACTGGAACTGCTGGCACCAGTGGAACTTCTGGGATCACTGGAACTGCTGGCACCAGTGGAACTGCTGGGATCACTGGGACCGCTTTAACCAGTAAATGTACTGGGAGTGAAGGCAAGTGGGGACCGCTGCAGAGTGTTGGTCTCTTCCGTTTGAGTCGCACATAGTCACGTTGCGCATTTTTATATAGTGCTCGCGCATTTTTTGCTCTTCCGGGACCTGCTACTTTTTTTCCAGCTTGTCATGATGCTCTTCATTGCTTTTTCTCTTTTTGGGATTCGCTCCCGGTTGTCAATTATCTGCTTATGTGTGTTTTTTTCCTATCCGTTTTTCTCTTCTATGTCCCTTTTTTTTGTTCTCTTCCTTGTTCCCTGCCTTTTTTTCCTGTTTGTTTAGACAATAGATGTTCCCTGCAGTCCTTGTGCGAGAATAGGTCGATCTATATTCCCACTCTCTCTCTCTCTCTTTTGCGTTCTTTATGCAGACGCAAATGAATGTCAAAAGATTCAAAACTTCCGTGACTTCAGACACGGAACTGTTATTCCAACTCTCTTTTGCATTCTGGAATAATAATCTGTATGCGTTTGTTCCTGACCCGTTCTTTGTTTTTCGCTTTGTTTTTGTTTGTGGATGGGGTCAGCAGGTAGGGTGTGGAAAACGGAGGCTGGTGGGAAGGCACCACTTTCGGTCCAAACGGAGTGTTCAACCTCAACGAGAGAAGGAAGTTCTTCAGAAGAGTTTGTGGAAATTCCAAGCCCTAGCAGAATGCCCTTGCCTGGTGCAAGCTTGATCCTTGGTTCTGCTGCAGTGTTGCAGGCTTCGGCGGCAGAGGATAAGGAGAGAGGAGGAGGAGGGAATGTAGCAACAGAGGAGAAGGAGAGAACAGTCTTCTCTTCGCCTGCCTGCGGAATGCCGCCGCGCAAGCTGCGGCAAGGTGGAAATGGGAAAGTCGGCTCGCCCCCATCTTCGGAGCCAAGAGGGGGAGGAAATGGAAAAGCAGGGTCGCCGCCCTCTCTAGACTTGAGAGGTGCAGGGGGTGGAGGAGGTGGTTCCAAGCAATATTCCAAAAGGAGTAATACGAAGCTTCTGGGGAAGACAGATTCCGGAAAGTACGAGGAAGGAAGTGTAGTTGTAGTGGCAGGTGATTTAGGGGGGAATGGCAATAATGGAAATCGTGGCCGTCAGGGGGGCAAACGGAGGGGGGGTGGGAATGGGGGACTGAAGGCAGGAACTTGTCCATCGCTGGACCCGGGATCCGGTCAAAACCCTGCTAGCCTGCCTGGCAGTCCTGGCATGGGTCCCGTGCAATCCACCGGATCTCCGCAGAGACTGGGACCGTTTCAGACGAGCCTCTCAAGAAGCTACTCCTCTCCATTAGCCAAGGGTAGGCAGGTTGCTTTCGATACTGATTCGCCGACGAAAGGTGGGTGGCGATCTAACAGCTTTTCGATGAAGTGTACGGAGTCTGCCACAGAAAGCGTCCCCTACAAGGGAAGACAGCAAAAGGGAGGAAAGAAGAAGTTTCCTGAACATTGGGAGCCATCCCGAATTGCTGAAGGGCTAAAGGTAGGTGTGGCTGATTACCAGAGCATTGTCCCATTGAAAAAAAGGAAAGAACGAAACAACAGTGTGACTGATTCTTCAACTTCTGTGATACTCTGTGGTTTTCACCTTGTAAAAAACAATAAAATCTTTTACTTTGTTTTCTGTCACTGTTAGGCTACCGTCGGTTGATTGTGTGCAGCTCCCAGTTCACATACGGCCATAATTACCGGGCGTCTATTCGGGTGAAGACGGTAGTCCTCCTGTGGCTGCGTGGCCGTCTCATGAATGGACTGCATGGCCATCTTGTGGTTGCGTGGTTCTGTTTTTGCAGTGTGGAAATGATTCCGACGGAGTACCTCTACATGCCATTAGCAAATGTGCTTCAGGCCCATCCAAACTGAATTCTGCCTTTTGCAGTGTGGAAATGATTCCAATGGGAAGTTTACGCTGGGCATTTAAAGTGTTGTTTTGAGGCTTGTGTCTGCAACTTTCTTTTTGCAAGTCAATGCAACCACCTCTTTTTTTGTTCTTTCTTCTTTCCCTTTTCTTCGTCATCTTTCTTATCTGTGTTTTGTTTCTAGATGGGGGATCTTGTGCTGTTGACGATACACCTGTGCGACACTTTTGTTAAACTGTGTGCCTTTTAGTGGTGTGGAGATTGCATTGCAATGAACCCAGATCGTGAAGACAGTCGTCAACAATGAATGTCAACCAGCTGATGATTATCAATAGTCAAAATCGTGTCCAGACAGAATGAGATGAGATAATCATACACAGACGAAGGAGAGAGGAGGGAGATTAGACAAAGGAGAGGAAATAAAAAGGCCCACTCCTGCTTCGGGCTCCCTCCTCAATCACCACCTCAATAATCAATAGTCTGAACGAGTATCCGAAGTAACCTCAATGTGCCACGTGGCACGTCTAATCAGTCCCTCATCAACGCTGGAGCAATGTCGGCATGAAGACAACCAGGTACGTATCCACGATCTCTACACAGTCCCGATCTCCTCCCGAATGACGATAATCAGAACAGCAATACAAGTCACGTAGCTTCGCTTCGTCAGCGAACAGAAGAACACGTGGCAGCAGCCACGTCAGCCAATGACACACGTGGCAGCAGCCACATCAGCGACAGTGCATGGCAGCTGCCACATCAGTATGCCAAGAAGACAGCAATACAAGTCACGTAGCTTCGCTTCGTCAGTGAACAGAAGAACACGTGGCAGCAGCCACGTCAGCCAATGACACACGTGGCAGCAGCCACATCAGCGACAGCGCATGGCAGCTGCCACATCAGCATGCCAAGAAGACAGGTGCAAGCCAGCCACCATGCTGGACCAGCAGCGCCTCGCCGAATCACAATGCCAGCGTCGCAGCGTCGAGCCAGCATTGAAGTCAATGCGTGAAGTCAACATCAACGCAAGACAGAATGAATGTCAAAGCCAGGGAGGTCAACGCTTAAGTAGCGTTGACTCGGGGTCTGGACCCCGGATGCTGCAACCTTTAGCCGTCCAGATCTTGATGCAAACCAAGGCCCAGATTGGCCTGAAACTGAATTCCCTTCGGCCTGGATGCTTGTCTGGGTACCTGTGCACAACAAGTGAGTATCCAACCAAGGGCCTGGGCGCGGTACCTTTGACTCTACAGTTGACTTTGACCCTTGACTTTCCTGGGTGCAGCGTTTGGTCACACAGCCAAACGCGACAGACTCAGACCTGGGCGTGTCCTGGTCACACAGCCCAGCGCAGACCAAGTTTGGTCTGCGTTGCCTGGGGCTGAGTTCTGGGCCCCAGACTACTTCTGAACAGGGTTACTGCAGCATTTCCAGGATTGTATTTCTAAAGCGTGTGTTTGCAATACGCATTCAGCATATATGCTTACTTGTGAATGGGCTTGTGCCTCTGTGTGTGTGTGTGTGTGTGGGTGTGTGTGTGTGTGTGTGTGTGGGTGTGTTTGTTGTGTGTGTGATGTGCAGAACGGGGAGCTATTGAAGTCTGTTTTCCGTGTGAATGGTCACAATCGGACTGAGGTATGCAGAACTTCACTCCTTGTCCTTCGCGTTTCTTATCCCTGCAAAAGTGTTTGGTCGGATTGGTGAACAACGATTTTGCGGGAGTTTGTTATGGTCCGGCTTTTGGTCTTGTCTGAGTGTGCTCACTGGAGCGGTAGGTGCTGTATGTGCTGTTTGGTTGCTATGGTCTAAAGTGTAGAGGCTGCCTTTGCTGTGAAGGATTTGAGTGTGGGAGGTCTGTCTTCTGACTCCTTTTGTGGCTGGTGTATTGTTTCGTTGACTGTTGTGTTGTTACAGGCCTATTGCACCGTCGAGGGTATATCTGTTGACGCCTTAATTTATGGGATTGTAGCTCAGAATCGTGCGGTGAGTATGTCTTCCAATCTTCTATTTCAAGCAATGGCTTCCTATTACCGTCTTCACCTGAATAGAATGCCTGGTCATTATCGCTGCATCTAGGCTGCAAGTTGCCTCAAATACAGCTGTAATGACTGGGCGTTGTAGTTGTATTCGGGTGAAGACGGTAGCTTCCTGTGGCGGTGCCAGCTTAGTGTCACCCGTTGCGTGTGAGTTGTGGCTGCAGTCTTGCTGTTCTTCAATTCCATTATCGCCCTTTGCATTATCTGATGTCTAAGTGCCATGTCTTAGGGAACTGCGTCCTGTGGCGGTCCCAGCTGAGTGTCAGATCGTAACCATGGTCAGGACTTAGCGGGAATGCGGGCAGAGACCTGTGTGTTCACATCTGCAACGTTCAGTTGTGCTCGTAGACTAGTTTTGACTTAAGTCTCTCAGAAGAAACCCTATTCTCAAATAAGAAAACGTGTATAAATATAAATTTCCCTGTCAGGCAATTGGATGAGTGGCTTAGTCACATGACCTTCTTCACCCGAATGTAGCTATATGATGGGTATCTTCCCGTCTAAGTACAACAATAATGACCGTACATTGTTTTCCGGTGAAGGAAGTAGGACTTTCGCAGTTGAATCTGCCGGTAAATGCACACAAATCTCCCTCAGAAAGCGATAGTGCGAGTATGCTCTGGGTGCTCTGGGTCAAGTTGTGGCTGTGGGGCACCTGATCTGGAATGTGGATGTGTTTGGCTCCTGTTGATGGACGTTTTTCTTGTAATGGCTGAAGGTGTTGTGTCTTCCTTTTACCTCAGAAAGTGATAGTGCGAGTATGCCCTGCCCCCTGTGTCAAGTTCCAGCTATGGGGCACCTGATCTCGAATGCGGGTGTGATTGGTTCCTGTCAATGGATGTTTTTCTTGTAATGGCTGAAGGTATTGTGTCTTTCTTGCAATGGCAGATGCTGTCATCTGCCAACTTGGTTGTGCGTACTATGGCTGGAGCACAGGTCATGTCAATTGCAAGTGCGTGTCGTGAATCCGTGTGATAGGCATAGGAATAGGAATGGCGAGTCCACTTCTCTTGCAGGAACGAACTGACTGTTTAGTTGAACCACGGTATCCCAGCGTGCGCTCGTTTGCTGAACCTTGGGGTTCTCCACCGCCGGGGACTGGCTTTTGTTCGCCGTTGTGCGCCCACTGGCACGGTCCATGACATAATGGGTGGAGAGAGCTACTCACAATATTTAGTTTTGCAGCTGCGACATTCCTCTTCCAGATGAACGATGATTTGGTACTTCCCAATGGATTAAATATTATCAGACGCATCCCTGTGACGTTGAACAGTGCTGCAGGTATCGCACACTGCTGCACGTGTGTGGGTAGAGTTCTATCTCGTGAATGATTGTTGATGGTTTCTCACATTGGTGGAATATTGTTGGCTTTTGATTGTGGCCTTGATTGCATTCAAATGAATTCGCCAGATGGACGGTGATGTAGTGGCCGTAAAATTGAATAGTGTGTCGAACTGGGTGAGATTGAAAGGTGGCTGCAAAGAGGCCAAAGAAGATGCGTCAGAGTCCAACAACAATTCATGGTTGGCGGATGACAGCTCTAATGGGAATGGGGAGGATGTGGATGCTGAAGCTCAGGTGGACATCGGGTTCGTAGGAGATGATTTTGAGGACGCTGATGAGGTAGACCCTGATGCAGCCGTTGAGAGAGATGGCATTGTTGTGAACTTGTGTGACGGTCAAGAGAATGGGCGTGTGACGGCCCTGGATGAGGCAGCCGTGAAACAGCTGCTCCTCTCGTCGAGCATGCGAGCACGGAATAGGGGTGGAAATCCTCCTCAGGTGAGCAAGGCGATAGAGGCTAAGATGCAGGAGCTTTGTTTGGGGGGTGTGAGGCAAAGGCAGGCTGAAGAAGCGACAGTAGGAAGTCCTGATTTGTTTGGTGGGCTCTGCTCAAGTTTTGGAAATGAGCGATCGCAGGGTGCAGGGGATCTGGAGGTGGATTGCCAGGAGCCTGTGGACATTGCGGCACTTTTGAGGGCGAATCCGATGAAACGTCCAACTGCGACGGTTGTTGGGATTCTAGAGAAATCGCCACGAAGGGAAACAATCGTGGGCTATCTGGAGCTGCCTAAGGAGAAGAAGAAGGAGGGAGAAGAGGAGGCGCATACGAACAATGCGTTGCTGCTTGTTCCGGCAGATTCAAAGTTTCCGAAGATGATAGTCTACGTTAGCGGGGTGCCTGACAACATCAAACAGCGCCTTCGTGATGAGGACGAAACACTCGCGCAAACGCTTGTTGCGGCGCGAGTCAACGTCTGGCGGGCAACCAGTTACTGGCCGACAGCGATTGTTGCGCGGAGCCTAGGCCAAGCTGGGGAGATAGAGGCAGAAACTGCTGCCATCATGTTTGAGTTCTCAATCCACCCTGTCGAATTCCCATCGTCAGCGCTGGAGAGCCTTCCAAAAACGCCATGGAGGATTCCTGAGAACGAACTGAAGAGGAGAGTAGATCTGCGGCATCGTCGGATCTTCTCTATTGATCCTCCAACGGCTCGTGATTTGGATGACGCGTTGTCAATTGAAGAGCTGCCGGATGGAAATTTCCACATTGGTGTACACATTGCTGATGTGTCGTACTTTGTCAAGCCCGGTACTACGCTTGATGCTGAAGCGCAGAGGCGGTCGACAAGTGTGTACCTTATCCAGCGCGTGCTTCCCATGTTGCCCCCACTCCTGTGCGAGGAGCTGTGTAGTCTTAATCCCGGGAAGGATAGGTTCGCCTTCTCGATTACATGGGTGATGACACCGTCTGGCGAGGTTCTCAGCCAGTCTGTTGGGAGGACAATCATCAATTCGTGCTGCAAGCTCTCGTACCCTCATGCACAGGCGATGATAGAAGGACAGTTTGAACCCCGTGCGAATGTGGATGTTCCTCAATTGCATGGGGGTCATTCATGGGAAGAGGTGGTGGGTGATGTCTTGAAGTTAAATGGAGTGGCAAGGCGTTTGAGAGAGAAGCGGTTTTCACAGGGGGCGCTTAGTCTAGATGGAATGAAGCTCAAGTTTTTCCTGGATGACGATGGGAACCCAACGGAGTTTGGGTCCTACGAACAAGTGGAGGCGAATTTTCTCGTTGAAGAGTTCATGCTGCTTGCGAACATGACTGCTGCGGCGACAATCGCCCGTGCATATCCGAAATGTGCACTTCTCAGACGGCATCCACCTCCCAATCTCAGGAAGCTGAACGACTTAGAAGAATTGTGTAAAGCGCAAGGCTACGAGTTCGATTCATCTGATGCAGGGGCGATTCACACATCACTACAGAGAATACGGCAGAACATCGATGACCCTGTGATCTTCGAATATCTGCAGTTTTTGGCAACGAAACCCATGCAACTGGCGAAGTACTTCTGCACCGAGGAGCTGGATAACAGGGAGATGTGGGGACACTATGCCCTTGCTGTGCCCATGTACACGCACTTCACCAGTCCTATACGACGCTATCCGGACATTATCGTCCACCGCACCCTTGCGGCGGTATTGGAAGTAGAGGAATTGCTGCAAGCAAGTAGGGGAGGAGGAGATGCGGGCACAAAGAGGAGTCGAAACATAGTCTCGCAGCTGGGCAACCAATTGACGTCCACCGGATGCTTCACTGGATTGAACAGAGAAGATGTGCTTGCAGCCAGCAGCGAGGCAAGAAACCTTACAGCTCAAGTAGCACAGACTCACAAGGTGCCCAGCCCGAGTAGGCTGAGGGAGGTTGCTTCCTGGTGCAATGAGCGAAATCAAGCAAGTAAATGGGCTCAGGAAGCCAGCGACAGGATCTACTTATGCCTCACGCTGAAGAGGAAGGTGTGTATAGCATGACCAGTGCTGCTACAAATGTTGTATGCTTCTGTACCGCACCATTGCAGTGCTGCTACAAATGCTTCTGTACCATGCTAACCTCTGTGGCTATGGTGTATGTGTTAATGAGTTTTCTTTTATGCACAAACAGGCTTTTCTTTTTCTTATTGTGAAAGAAGTGGCATATGATAGGGCAGTTCCTTATGCTTTTTCTTTCTTTGTGCTTTGTCCTTTTCTGTTTTTGTGGGCGAAGCCGCAACGGGTCATCTAGTATGAGTTAATGATGCTATGCACTCCATATCCATGGAATGCTGCTTCGGTAAAGTTTGAAAATTGCAACGGGACAAGCGTAGTGGTTCAACAATGAGTCTGTTTGTGCCTATAAGCCTGCATTGACTATGGGGAATGGGTTTGACCGTGTGTTGTAGAGTGAATCCTGTCTTCCTATTCTTCATATTCTTCCCATTCTTCGTATTCTTCCCATTCTTCCTATTCTTCCTATTCTTCCCATTCTTCCTACTCTTCCTATTCTTCCTGCGTGTTGGCTTAAAATATTGGCAACACTGGTGTCAATTTTTCTTCCTATTCTTCCTATTCTTCCTATTCCAGCGTTATACCTCCTCAAATAGTGGGGCCAATTGAGCAGACGAGAAAAGAAAACATGTGGCCGTTGGAGCGTAGACCAACTGAAAAGTGTGGACCGCGTGGTGACCAGGGTGATCCTAAAAGGAAGTGGAGTGGTGGTTTAAACCCAGCTATCCGTGGTTTCACACTGGTTAACATGGGGCTGCGATCAAGTTGGGCCTACCAGCCGCTCAGCCATACATTCCGGTGGGAAAAAAAAGGGATCTGAGCCTCGGATGGTGATCGTCTTTCTTGCATGAACTCACCTTCAGTCTTTTCAGTGTAGTATGACGTTATGCTCAGTGGTATGAATGGAGAAGATTAATGCGGAGCTGGCGAGCTGATAGAGACCTATGATGCATGCCATTTATGCAAGTGTTTGTTTATGTTTGCCACTTGAATTACTGTTCACTGTGTATACGCTTCATATCCTACTTTCTGGCGGTTTCAGTGCTCTTCTCGTGCTGCGTTTTAATAGTGAGTGTGTCTGATTGAAGTCTTTGACATCAAGTTTTGCAAGCAGTGAAGTGCGGCATCAAGCATTTGGCTCTCAAGTAACATTTAGGACCACTTTTCGTCACTTGCCGACTGTTGAAAATGCTGCCCTCCTGGATGTCGTCTAGTGCCACCGGAGAAGGGCCGGAGATCTTGGTGTTCTCTTCTTCTGTTCTTTCTCATGTGCACTTGCTTGCCTGTATTAAGCAACCGGACTGATGTCAATGTGTGTGTGTTAGGAGAAGAAGGAAAATGGGAATGTATCCTGCCACCCTCTCCTGCAAGATGCACTTGCCATTTATGTTTTGCCGAGAAGTGAAACAAGGCCCACAATGTGTTTGTTAATAGATGAATGACATGTTTGGGTTTCCTGGTTTTTCTCGTGTGGAAGACAGGTGATGGATCTAGGCTTATTACATTGGAGAACTGTTTTTGGAGTTTTCCCTCTTTCTTTTTGTCCTGCTAAGTAAAGAGCCAGTAACATGATTAGACCCGCCCAAAATAGTTTGTAATACCATTCCACCAGTGGCCATGCACAGGCCTTGAGCAGCAAGACTTCCTTCTCCCCCCCCCCCCCCCCCCCCTCCCTCTTTCGTTTGATTTCTGCTGATGACTCAATTAGAGGTCATTGCCCATTTGTGTATTTGTATCAGCTTTAAAATTTTACCAGCTTAGAGGAGGGATCGAAAAGGGCATTCCCCTCTCCCCACAAAATTGATCTATGATTTTGTCGATAACATTTTATGGCTTTTCTTTGGAGAATGAAAGTTCTTCCTTCTGGGCTTCCGTAGTTTTGGTAGACCTCGTTAGTCTGAAATTCTGAATATTTAACCTGGTTTTCACTCTCGAGGGCTAGTATTACTTGGAATGTTCTGGTCGGTGGACTGATTTGGTGTCCCTTCCCCCACGCTGCCTCCCTTTACCCTATAAAAAGTGTCCTCAAAAGGACCTTATTCCCTCCTTTTTCCTTTTTTCTCACGTTGTTTGTTTGGACTGCATCCGGTCCGGTATGCTACGCCGTGTGTCAAAACAGGGAGTGCTCTCTGATGCAAGGGTTGTCTCACTGGGACCGCGATTCATGAACGTCTTCGTCGCCAAACTAGGGGTGAGCTGATAAGTTTCTTCCTTCGCTTTCCCCTTCTCCTACATGGGCTGCTCTCTCTCCCTCCCTCCCTCTCTCTCTCTCTCTCCCGTCCTCCCTCTCTCTCTCTCCTTCGTCTTCCCCCTTCCTCTCTCCCCTTTTGACACCCTCAAAGTCTCTACAACCAACTGCAGGATGTTTCGATGGCATATCGGATTTATTTTTTGTTTTGTAATTTTAGTTTGGATGATTTCTCGATTGATGTGTCATCCTTGTGCAGGGGCCATGCTAATCTTTTCTGTATCGTTCCAATTTTAACGGATGTTCCGAAGGACGATTGCATATTGGAATTTGTGTCAACTTCTTTTTATTTTTTTATTTTTTATTTTTATGTTTTGCTATAGGCCTATAACAATTCAACAAATGAATCTTGGACGATTGGACATGTCACTTGTAATGCTATCTACCTAACAATCATTACAGCCAAGGCAGTGACTGCACAGGGTGCCTACCTGTGTCCATCTGCTGGCAAGATAACAAACATTCCTCAGAAAATGAATCCAAGTCGAAAAGACCATGATGATGAGCAATATCACTACCAATTGCTCAAAAGAACCCTGCTTTTCACATCGACCCCGGATCTGTGAGACTCCCCTCAAACAGATCATGCATGCTGCCATAAAATCTTAATTCTCACAAAGATTGCTGGGTATGTACATGGCCTCAGGAGGTGAAAATCCAGCCAGTCATTCCTGGGGAAGGGCCGCAGCAAGGGCGTAATGTGACCAGAACTGTCCTGGCTCATTGCGGCTGACCATAAAGTGTCCCGCATGCTCTCACCCTCACCCCTCTGGGCGTCAAGCCCTCCGACAGGTATCCCCTCACAAACATGAACAGGCAGTTATTCCTCCCCTTCGGGCAAGGCCCAGCCCTAGGGCGTAGTGGCACCAGAACAGTTCTGCTGCTTGGATGACATGGCTGACTGTAAACCCAGTCCGTTGTTTGTGCTCGAGTCTTTCGCAGCGAGTTCTTCACTACGAGTATCTTCAACGGCGTTGAATAAGTCGTGTCCGTCTCGTTGTGGACTTAACCATCGCCCGTGTAGGAGTACCCCCTGAGGAGGCCGCCTCCTCCAATGTAAGGCCAACAGCCAGTTCTGCTACACCCTCAGGTCCATCGGAAGAACCCCTTCCGTTGGATAGAAGGGGTGCCCTGCCGCCTCCTTGGAAATAAGGTCACGCAAACATGAAGGCTTCCTTCCACAATGTGACCAACTGGAGCCAGGGACATAGAGGCCTCCCTTCAACATAGAAGCCTCCTGCAAATGAGTTGCCCTATCCTCTCACAACACAACATGCACCACGCGTCCTCCTAAGCGGCCTCCTGCTCAGCAAGCATCCCACTGGCAAGTCGAGTCATTGTGTGCACAGAAGCCTCGACAGTCTGAGATCGGTCATTGTGTCCTCCTCACATGCAAGTCAAGTCATTGTGTGCACAGAAGCCTCGGCCGTCTGAAATCCCCTGTGGTCTGAGTCTTGTGCAGACGCATTGAAAAACCTCAAGATGTCTGAAATATCGTGAGAGAGTCGACACCAACTCAGAGCTCAGCCAATTGACGAACTTTGCAACGGATGAGTGGCACTCACTGCACTCCCTTCCCTCCACTGTCATCAGCCGAAGAGGACAAGTACGTGCTTACCGCCAGCAAGAACTCGGCGGGACAGAGCTAGCTAACTAGCACCATTGCTTGGCCTCAGTCAATATCAGTTGCCACCAAAGCATCCAGTGCAGAAGTAGTTAACTGTGACAAAAGGAAAACTTGTGTTGTATGCAATAGAACAGCAAGAATTTGTGAATAACATCATTAGACCTTCACTGTATTAATCTGGTGTACAGTTGTACAGCGCGATCAGTGCAATGGCGGGAATCATTTCACTGTTCCGACCAATGAATGACCTGATCTGAATGTAGCCATACATAGAAGAAGAAGAAGAAGAAGAAGAAGAAGAAGAAGACGAAGGCTTGAGATGTCAATCAAGCAGTGGATAGTCAGTGACCACTCGTCCATGTGCAGACACTTGAGAACAGGCAACGGGTGTGTTACATTGTGCCGCCATCTCTATTGCATGCAAAGAATGGGATATGCGCAACACAACGAAGGTTGAGGTTATGGCCTGCTATGGTACTACCTCTTGGCTCCCCTACCTCCCCCACTTATCAAAGACGATCTCGACAATGTCTCCTTCGATCGATCGATCTCCTTCCTTTCCCCTGACCTCTTCCCTTCCTAGGAGGTCTGGGCTCCAGTCTCTGTTCCACTATTTCCCCCCCAACTGCTGGCCTGTCCAGCCTATCATGCCCATGAAATAATCCTGTCCTAAATCGCCTCGATGCTCTCAGGATTCCACTGTCACTCTGATTCCCAAGCAGCATAGGGTCATCGATTCCCCTGACGGGACCAATTCCCACGTTCCTTCCCCCACCAACACCTATCCATGAATCATCCTTGCTCTCTTGCCAGAAGGTGCAGTCTCTCATTTTCAAGTGGGTGCTCCAGCTGTTGATGACACCAATCCCATCTTGCAGCTTCTGCCTGGCTCTTTCGACAGGCTCCACAGCCTGCGACACTGTAAACCTGACATCCTTCACAACCGTATTGCTACCACCGACAAGCATGTTGCTCACACTTTCACTGAAGCTCGGTGGTCCTTCTGAGCTGTCCATGGGCCATTTCACGAATGCAGGTTTTTCGCTCTCCAGCACCTCGTCCACGTCTGGCGGTCCTCCTGCATAATTTCTCAGTACACGAACTTCGCCCGTGCACCCCACCCTCAGGTTCTGGTATGGAGTTGCAGGAAATACATACAGATGGGCTGCAGCTGCTATTGACATCTCTATACAAATGAGGAGGTCTTGCAATCCTGTCTGCAGTTTTCCTGGAATCAACTCCGGCCGAGGGGTTACAATGCCTACCGAGAAAAAGAATGCAATGAATATCCCTCTTCGTGTCAACTTCTAAATCTTATACCATGGCAGATTCTTGAACTCTTCTTTTTTTTTTCAGTCTTTGCGAGGAATGAGCCCTCACAGGGCCCTATCAGACATCACATTTTCTGGGCAAAGGCCCGCAGCAAGCTGCTTCCATATGTGGGTATTCAGGCTCTTGCAGCACGCCAGTTGGTTGAGTAGACGCGTGAGCCTCAGTAAGCTGCGTCATACAGTTGGCCCAGGCCTTGACAGTTGCGCCTGGGCACGTACACACAAAGCAGGGCTGATACATTGAGAAGCAGGCCACCTGCCTATGCAAATGCAGTACTGTCGACGCACCTACCCCGGAGCCATGCGCAGATGCAGCAAACAGCCCAAGTCCGGAGACTCAGGCTGTGCCCAACTGTAAAGTGGCCCGGGCCCTCAACTGTAGTCTTGGGCCTGGGCGCAGGGACTGAGCCCCAGCCACACACAGCATTGAGGAGGCTGCCACTTCCATATAGGAAGTAAGGCAGCCCAGGCCAGGCATTCTGGCCAGCGTTGGCAATGTGGACACGCTGCTGTGCTGCGGCCAGGGGTGCAGACGGGGTGCGTAGTGGTGAAGTGGTGCGCTGCAGGGCAGCGGTGTGCTTGCAGCTATAGCCGGGCTGCTGGGCGCAAGGGGTTAATGTGGGTGTTCTGGTGGTCTTCAGGGAAGGAGGTGAGTGTGGGTTCTCAAGGTCTGATGAGGGTGACGAGATACGTACCTGGTGCATGAAGAGAGGTCGGCTATAGTGTTGACATCATGTACATTTGGTCGACGTCTTAGCTATGTGCGATACGCAGATGACTTTGTGATAGGCATTACCGGCCCTCTTCCTGACGAGATACGTGATCTTTTATCGACCTTTCTAAGTACGCTCGGACTATCCTTTGCTGATAGGATTTTCTACAAATTTATTATTTCATTTTAATTTAGGATTAATTTGGATGTGTATTTTTTTCTCATATCTTCCCAATATGGACCGTTTGTTTCAAAATGATTTTGAAGATGGTACACTTGAATTGTATTGTTTAAGTGGACCATCCACTCGTTTACAGAAGATGACTGGAGTCACCTCTTTTAGAATTCCTGTAGTTTGGCTTTCCTCTTCTGGGGATCTCTGTATTCCGGACTTTCTCTAAATCTCTCTCTCTCTCTCTCTCTCTCTCTAGTCAAACAGAGCTGCCCGGTAAACCGTAGGCAGAGAGGGATAAGAGGACAACAAACGAGGGGCTGTGGCAAACTGTTTCGTTGGAGTTTTTATATATATATATGCTGTGCCTCTAGTGCCAGCGGCGTGTCTGGAGTGTATTTTTTGGCTGTGACAGACCTTTCTTTGTTTCGTGGATGTTTTGCTGGCTAGTGATGGGGTGTGAACCGACAGTCTGTAGAGTTTTCC